GGCTGCCCTCTGGGCCTGCAGCACCGGGCCAGCTGTCGCAGAGCAGAGCGGGGTGAAGGGGCAGAGGCTGGCTCCTGGGGGCCAGGGGGGTTGTGGTTTCCAGGCCGGCCCCCTGAGCCCTCCCAGGTCAGAGGCAGGCTGGTGGCCCCGCCCCCAGCTCCCCAGCTTCCTGGGCACCTTGGCCTGGCTTCCCGTTCCCTCCTCCCTCCCGTGCTCCCCACAGGGGGTTCTCCTCTCCCCCTCGTGCCCTTGCCCTTTTCTCCATTTTTCTCAGTTTTGTAAGTTGTATCGTTCCCTGGGGCTCCGTTTCAGCATCGGCTGGAAAGGCCAGGGCCCAGCTGGCGCCTCAAGAAAGTGGGGGAGGGGGTGAGAAAAGGGCAGGAAGGGAGGAGGGCCCCTTTAAGCTCAGAAAAGGCAGCGTGGCACAATGAGAGGCACAGCGCGCCCAAGGGGACCTGGGTTCTCGCTCAGCCACCGCGCTGCGTGCTGGCCTCTAGTCTTCTGTATGTAGCCGTGTGTGTGTGTGTGTGTGTGTGTGTGTGTCGGGGAGGTCTCAGCCATGTGTGTGTGTGTGTGTGTGTGTGTTTCCCGGGGAGGTCTGTGTCGGGGGGTGCACTCGGACACCTGCATTTGCCCTTTAAATACAGTTCCTCATGTTGTGACCCAACCATAAAATTATTTTCGTTGCTACTTCATAACTGTAATGTTGCTACTGTTATGAATCGTAATGTAAATATCTGATATGCAGGATGGTCTTAGGCGACCCCTGTGAAAGGGTCGTTCGACCACCAAAGGGGTCGCCACCCACAGGTTGAGAACCGCTGCTTTAGACAGAGGCGGTCCAGTTACGGTTTGAATCCCAGCAAGGCTTTCCCTGTAAAAAGCAGCACAGTCGTTCACCTTTACCCTGAGTTGGGAGGTCCAGGATCTGCCCAGTGTCAGACTTGGCAGCAGGGAATTCATGGCAGCACCGGGCTGGGCAGAGGCTCAAGTGCAGCGGGTGCCGGAAGGGCCAGGGCTGTGTTGAAGGAGGGCGAGTGCACGGGCCGTGGGGGAGGGGAAGGCATCTCGGCTGCCAGGGAAGGGCGGCACCAGCATCAGCATCAGCACCAGCACCAGCATCAGCATCAGCATCAGCTAAAAGCTTGTTAGAAATGCACAGGGTGAGGGGGGATCTCGGGGCCCAGGTGACGCTGACGCACACTGAGGTGTGAGAAGCACTGACCTAGGTCCTCACGGGCAGGGCTGCGAGTGTGGAGCCAGGAAGTGTGTTCAGATCTTTCTGAGTGGGTGGGGCCGGGCCGCTTTGTGTGGGGAAATTCGATCCGAGGTGTGTTCAGGTAGAAAAATCTATATGCAGACGGGGGATGGGGGGGGGGGGCAAAGGTGGAAAAACCAGCTGGGCAGCGACCCTGGGCATCAGATCTGGGCCCTGTTCCCAGCCTCCCGGCCTGAGGCAAGTGCACCATCTCCCTCCTTCCCACCCCAGCCTCAGCTCCTGTCTGTCAATCAACCAGGAGGACGTGTTCGCTCACTCGGGCTGTTACAGACATTAAACAGAATGTCTCACGGTTCTGCGGGCGGGAAGTCCAAGGTCACGGTGCGGCAGGGTCCTTTCCCCAGGCCTCTCTCCGGGGATTGCAGATGGCTGTCCCTCGGTCTGTGTGCTTGTGCCCTAACCTCTTTGGCTAAGGCAGCGGTTCTCAACCTGTGGGTCGAGACCCCTTTGGCAGTCGAACGACCCTTTCACAGCGGTCACCTAAGACCATCCTGCATATCAGATATTTACATTACGATTCATAACAGTAGCAACATTACAGTTATGAAGTAGCAACGAAAATAATTTTATGGTTGGGTCACAACATGAGGAACTGTATTTAAAGAGCCAGAAGGTTGAGAACCACTGGTCTAAGGGGATGCGATTCAACAGTAGCTGTAACTGTTCACTTTCCAAACCCCAAGGCTAGTGCCCAGCCAGGCCTGGGGCTGGTGACAGCCTGCAGTGGAGGGGGGCGGGGGTTGGGGGGTAGCAGAAAGAAGGAGGACAGCACATTCCGTTTCCCTTTGCAGGTGACTCAGGGCTTTGGCAGCTCGGAGGGGCTTCTAGCGCCCCCAGAGCTTGTTGAACAAACGAGGTTCCAGGGTAAGAGAAAGCCTTCGTGTCTGTTTGTCTGTCTGGGCTGGGGGAGGGCAAATCATCCGTCCTGAGCCCGAGTGAGGGTGCTCGTCGGGGAGGGCCAGGCTGGCAATGACCCTGACACCTGCAGGGGGGGATCCCCCTCTTCCCCAAGCTGGCGCCCCCACTCCCACTCCCACTCCCTTTCTTTCGGTCAGAGCACTTATCAGATCTCGTCACAGTATGTTGACGTCTTGTTTAATGTTTGTCTCCCCTGCTCTCCAAACAGAAGTCCCACGAGGGCAGACTGGGTGTCACACCCTCAGTGCTGCGCAGGCGCCTGACACAGAGCCAGAGCCAGCGTTCAAAATGTCGTTCAAGAACGGGTGACGGCAGCAGGGATGGTGCAGGGCCCCTGCCAGTCTCGGCCGCCTCCTCTGTCCCCCCAGCAGAGGTGGGATTGTGGCCCAAGCCACAAACTAGTCACGTACTGTTCTAACCAGGCACAGGTGACAAGTGATCAGTTGCCAACCCACAGCCTGGGGAGCGTACCCCGCAGTCAGGGATCTCATGGTGCCCGCTCCCCCATTCTGTGACCCGGTGGCCTCTCTCACAGTCCCTGGTCTTGAACGGGCCTCTCCGGGGACCGATGCAGAGAGAAACCGACCTCGGTTTACATCTCTGCTCTTTTCTTCTATCTGAGTCTTTTCTGAGTCCCTGCAAACTCTCACGGACGCTCGTTCTCGAGGGACCAGTTTGCAGCTTCCTGGATGGAAGGTGGATAATCAGGAGAAACGCTCGGCGAGAAGAATCCACAGACCTGGCAGATAGGACGCTGGCCAATAGGGGAGGCCCCGGGGGGCAGGTTCCAAAAGGGCGACTCCAGCACAGGACCAAACGATGGGGAGGCTACCGCCGGCCTTCCTGAGAGGCGGGTGCGGGCGGAGCATCTGCGCTG